GTCTGTAGAGTGCAAAAACATTTTTTTAAAATTTGCTTCTTCAAAACCTTGGTGCGTCTTATACTCTGGTGCGTCTTATACTCCGAAAAATACAGTGTATTTCAAAAGCACACATGGAAAAATATCTATTCAATTTGATACAATGAACTGGAATAACCCATTAAAACCTGTATCATAACACAAACAGTAATATATGAGGTATTTAGAGTCAGCATTACAACACTTTAAAAAAATCAACCTCAACCTTCCATACCAAATGCAAAACCCTTTCTTACCTGTACTTTTAATTCTAGCAGATAAGCGCGGAACAGTTTTTCAGAATTGTCAATCATTTCACTAGGTTGAACTTCACCCAAGACTCCCAAGAGCTCATAAATCCTTTCCAACACTTAAAAAAAAAAGCATCTTAATCACTTATATCTTATGTCAACTACCCCAATTACTTTCCCCTATCATCAAATGTAGGAGGATTTAATTCAGAGCAACATATAGATTTCCAAGTTCTTACTAGCATTTGCATTCATTGTCCTGGGGGATGCCAATCACACTGTATATATAATCAACTACTCAATTAATTATACAATTTCTACAACTGGGTTTAAATTTATTTTTCCAAATTACAAATAAACTTGATAAAAGAGTCTCCACAAGATGATAATTATTGCTCAGGCTTTCAGCAATAACTTTTTAATGACTGAGGGAAGAAATAAAGCACGGGAAAAGATTATTTCTTCAGCACAATACTCTTCTTCATCCAACTACATTTTTTTCTTGGGAAGAAAAAATTACAACTTATTATCATGCCATGTTCCTTAGTTGGTCTCTTGCATCACCTGGGGAACAAATCTTGATGTCCAAAAAAATGTTAATTTGTGCATAAATTTTAAAAACAATTAAGTAGGATTAAATTTGTACAAAATCAATGTCACATAGGTTACTATCATTCCCTGCTTTCAATACTATTTATACCTTATTAGAGGCTTATTAGAAACTTTTTGTCAGGATATATCTCACTCTGTTAATTATTTGGGACACTAGCTAATTTACAATACTTGCTAAACACCATTTACTCTTAGTTACTGATAGACAAGTAAAATGTTACCTGTATCAGGCACTTTGCTTTTTATAGCAATTTCTCCATAAAATTTGTTAAAGATTTCTCCAATCTTCATGCATTCCATTGCTTTCGGTAACTTTTGAAGCAGCTACAAAGGTATTCAACATGCAAAGGGTTAGAATGGCAAATCATTTTTTAAAGTACAGCAAAATATAAAACTATGCCATCAATTTTACCTTGATCAGTAGCTCTAGAGCTGGGATTCCACATTTTGCTGATCTGTCTTTTGTATAAACAGTAACACATATCCCCTAATTTTTAAAAGACAAAAATTGTAATAATGTATTATTATATATAACAATACAACCAAAATTCTCTTAACTTAAATATGCAATTGGTGAGAAAATTGTTCCTCATTATTTTACTTTATTCAAAAATATTAAACTACTGAAAGATACCAATGCAAATTTGTTTACCAACATAAACATTTTGGTCATTAGAATATTTCACATCCTTCAGCTAGATTAATCAAAAGCCAGGCTCTAGCAATGTCTTTTCTATACATTTTGGGGTAAATTAAATCTCTTTTCAACAGTGGAGAGTATTCATAAAAAGACATCCATTCAGAACATCCCAGAGGTAAAAACAAGAGAATATGAAATAGACAGACATCTATTATTCTATCTGGAAGCATTAACAATATTAGATTATAATAATATAATCATAATCATCATAATAATAAATATTATCAACATTAGTATTAATATAAAATTAGAGCAATGTTTAGAATATTACAATAGTACAATTTCTAGACTGAGATGGGTTACAATCACAGTTGATTGTTCAGACTCAGAAGGACTAGCATGTTACAGACTTTTATATTAAAAGGGTACATTCTGAAGATAAATTTTGAAATTAAGATGAAGTACAAATCATGCTTCTTATTTTCCCAACTTTCATCAAAAATACAATTTTCACATCTAATCTGTTTGGAAGATTTGAGACACTTTAAATATTTCTCATGAAGTATAGGTAAGTATTACCTCATGTTCGAAAGTTTCAATTGAAGAAATATTTCAAGAATTTAATGGAAACAATTAGCTTTTAAAACTATAATTAGTATTTTAATCCTAACATTAATTCTACTTTGCTCAGCAAAATTATCTAGTTTTACATTTAAAAAAAAAAGTAAAATAATTTTCTTTGACCTACCTTCACATCTTGTGCATAAGGCTGAACTTTGGGGCCAATCTTTTCCACAAAGGCAAGAATAAATTTTAATGCTTCTTCTCTGCATTCTCTAAACTAAAAAAAAAATCATCTTCATTAAGAATACATTGACAAAATAAGGCTTCATATCAGACTTATGAAATGAACATATATATAAACACTGCAGTCTCAGATCACTTACTTGCTACACACAGCTTTTGAAGAAGCAATTCAAATAACTTCCAACATTAACAAAATGTACCCAATTTGTGTAGAAATAATATTCAACAAGGCTAAATTATTTAAAAAGTAGTTTCATCCTAGATTTTAAACTTACATCTTCAACTTTCAGCGACTTACGAATAAATGATAGTAGTCCATTTTCTTTAGAAAACACCAGTGAAATCTGCAAGGCTGAGGGAATAATAAATGCAGATTAATATTTTAATAAATTAAGCAAATACTCTACAGGTAATCCTTGACTTTCAACCATTGGTTTAGCAACCATTCAAAGTTACAGTGGCACTGAAAAAAGTGACATGATGGATCTTCTCATTTACAACCACTGAAGCCTTCCCACAGTCACATGATGAAAATTGGGTGCTTGGCAATGACCATATATTTATGATGGAACAAACTTCTGGTTGGCCCATTGGGCCTGTTTTTCATCCTCTCTAGACTATGGAGGTTTTCCTGAAACCTGGAGAGAGTGAAAAAAGGCCCAAGAGGTCAACCGGAACGAACTTCTGGTTGACCTGTTGGGCCTATTTTTCGCCCTCCTCAGGCTCTGGAGGCTTTCCTGAAGCCCAGGGAGGGCAAAAACGGCCTCCCCCGGCCCCCTGGCTGTTTTTGCCCTCCCTAGGCTTCAGGAAAGCCTCCGGAGCCTGGGGAAGATGAAAATCCACACACACCCACGTGCAGGTGTTGCTCAAGCATGCGTGGTGGGCAGGTCGGTCATGCATACACAGCTGGGGAGTTGCTCACGCATGCACAGATGGGGGTCATTCACGCATGCGCAGGTGGGTGGGCACGTACATGTGTGATAGCGCGCACACACACAATTTTGGCACACCAAGGTTAGCCATCACTGGTCTAGTTTAATGAAAAGAATTGGGATGACATGATAGCAGTGTTCAGATATCTAATGAGTTGCCATAATGAGGGAGTCAACCTATTCTCCAAAGCACCTGAAGGCAGGACAAGAAGCAATGGGTAGAAACTAATTAAGGAAAGAAGCAACCTAGAACTAAGGAGAACTTTCCTGACAGTTAGAACAATTAATCAATGGAACAATTTACCTCCAGAAGTTGTGAATGCCCCAACACTGGAAATTTTTAAGAAGAGATTGGATAACAATTTGTCTGAAATGGTATAAGGTTATCTGCCTATGCAGTGGTGGGGTTGGAGTACAAGACCTCCAAGGTCCCTTCCAACTCTGTTATTTTATATTCTATTCTACTAACTCTTCCCAGCTTTCCTATTAGCCATTGTGACTGGCCATTCATTTCATTCTCACAAACTTTCTCAGATTAGAAGGAGAAACAAGAAGAGCTGAGAAGCACTTAGTCGAATCCATAGCTGGCTGTGCTGGATCTTTCCAACCCCAGTCCAACATTCTCAGTGTTTCTCAATCTCAGCAAACTTTAAAGACTTCAACTTCCAGAATTCCTCAGATAGTATTCTAACTAAGGAATTCTGGGAATTGAAGTTTAGGGGTCTTAGTTGCTGAGCCCAAAGAACACTTTTTTTAACCCTTAGGTTACACTACATCTCCCTGCTGTTGCTGCTTCAGAAACCAAATTGTTCCAGCAGCTTTCTCAAAACAACATACCAAGATTTATTATACGGTAGTTTTGTATATCACATTTTTTGAGACCCTAGCTCTGAAAAGCAGTTTAATGTAATTTAAATAAACCTCCATTTGTTAAAGAATACCCTCACAAAGTATTGTAGTATCTGCATTGGGTAACAAATCGATTATAAGTTCGCCTGCACAACTCATTCCTTAGAAGGGTGTGTAACCGAGCAACTTTTCCTTGTTTTAATGCACCAGCGTTTGCGAATGCAGAATTATCCCTACTTCCCAGGGCTGCGCGTTCACAGTCCTGGTGTGCAACTTTGTTTTCAGGTCTGTTTCCACCTCATTAATCACTACTGAATCTGGAGTAAACAATCTGCTTCCAGAATGGATATAACAACCATTGCAACATTCCGAATTAAGGCTAGCTGAATAATTAACGCATCGCTTGCATTTACATTCCAAAGCCCGAACTCCATTTGATCACCACAGTTAAACAGTAAGAGTTGGAAGGGACCTTGGAGGTCATCTAGTCCACCACCCCCTGCTCACGCAGGAGACCTATACTAAGGATTCGAACCGCCGAACTGCCAACCTTTCTGATCGGCAAGCTCAACCAATGAGACCTCAGGTCACGACTTGATGAATGGTTTACACACCCAGGATGTCGTCTCCACTGCTAATGACACACGACTCCGCTAAAGAGCGAATTAAACCGCAGCCGTGGAGCGCGGCGCTGCCGGGGTCTGAGTTCTGAAGGGTGTCGTGCAGCTGCGAAAGAAAACCCTGCAGCCCACCGCCAGAAGCTGCAAGGGAGAGCGCCATGCCGCCCACCGCAACAGCAGGAACAAGCTGTGGCCCCACAGGGAAGGGGAGCGGGGCGGACGAAACCAAGTCCACCTCCGGACGGGGAGGAACAAAAGAGGAAAAAACCAACTCTACCAGCCGCGAGGAAACATGACGGGATTGGCTTTAGCAAGAGGAAGCTGCCTGCATATTATTAACAGATTAAACCATTGCCTCTTGGAAACGGGGGGGGACAATCTGGTCTAAGATTACGGCACAAGGAAGAACGACACTCTTATTCGCTTGGATATTAAATTAGCATACGTTAGTCAACCCTCCTCCTTTGAAATTAATTGGATATTCCTTATCTGAATAGCTGCGACGCGGCGGTACCAGTTGAACATAGGGGGAACTCAACGCGGAAAAATATTCCTTAGAAGCGTGCGCGGCCGCATAGTTCGGTTAGCAGCCCCTTCCACCAAGCCAACAAGCGAATTTTCGCCGTGTCACCCGCCCCACTCAAAGACGCCGCTTCAAATATTAAACCTGCGAGAGGCATGCGGGTATTACCTCCCCTCTTTCGCGCAGACGTGGTTTCTCCCGCTTTGCAAATTGGCGAAAAAGCCCGCGAAAACGTGCGGTCATGTGATCCCATTTGGCGCGGATTTTTCCCTCTCTGGTAAACCTGTTTTGGGGATAACAGACCAAAAAGGTTCAAGACGTCTGCGAGGAGAGGATCAGGCTAGTCTGGTTCAAAGTAGCCGCGGTGGCCATTGGGTGCAGTTTTAACAGAGTAGGTCGATGTTCCGCCGTTGATTGTTGCAGTCTTTGTAGTGTGGTGCTTCTGGTTAGTTGTGGTTTCCCTTCCTCTTTCATGCAGGATTCGCCCAGCCATGTCCTCGCCAGCATCGACTCCGAGTCGCCGAGGCAGAAAACGCTCGAGAGGGGAAACTACCCCGACTGGCGGGAACGCGAATGCTCCTACTCGTAAGTTGCTCGTAACCCCGAAACCTAAGGTTCTGCGCCGTCCTTGGTTCCTCCGAGTCGGCGTGATCGATGGGATGCGATCTCTTGAATAGTGCAAATAATTAAGCAGTCCAAGCTCTGCCGTTCAAGGAGCCACATAATCTAACGCATATGTAGAGTAGTAGCATTGGGGAATGCTGAGTTAGCAGGATACAAAGCCTGCGCAAGCTGAGAAGAACTCAAAAATAAAGCAAGAATAGCCATATTTATCAAATAGTATTAAAGCATAAGACAAAGTAAACTTAACAGATAACAGATGAATAGAGTTGCAAGGGGTCTTATAGATCATCTAGTCCAACCCCCTACCCAAGCAGGAGACCCTACACCAGGGCTCCCCAAACTTGGCAACTTTAAGACTTGTGGACTTCAATGTGTAGTCCTCAATGGAACTGCATCTACATGGAGGGAAGTATGCAGTGGAGTACCCCAAGGC